GCCTTTTTCATATCAAACTTGCACAACACCCCTTCCCTCCTTCTATATGCCAATTTTTCATTAAAAATTGATTAATTTGTGATGTTTTGAAGGCTATCCTATAAGTGGGACATAATGGTGTGCATACACAAAAGTGTATATACTTAGTGATAATATGAACAGTTTCCATGTAGACTATTCTCTTACATAAATATGATATTGTTAATGAAATTTTTAATTCTAGCTTTGAATATATATATATATGCACATATATGACGTGGTATTGATAGATAGGTTGTATTATGCATTAAGGTGAATGCTAATATAGGTAAAAAGTACTTATATTCACCGACCAAATTCATATTGATCGAGTGAGTGACACACAATTGCTATTTCAACATTATATTTATAATTTGATTTATTGTGTAGTTGGATGAGCAGCTCATTATTTTAACAGAAGCCATCATTTGTCTGTATTTTATTATTTTTTTTCAAATAAGGAAGATGAAAGGATGTATGATGACACTAAACAAGGAACTTTCTACAATTTCAGCTCAAAAATAATTACTAACTGTTTAAGTGCCATCTGAATAGCGATTTTCAAAATTTTTAAGTATATATCTTGAGAACAATTGCCTATTCTTGCAAAAAATTTTAACTGAGTAGTAAATCATACAATTTCACCTAGTACCAATATAATACAATCTCCAAGTGACAATTTTATTTTCCTAGAAGCAACAACCTAGTCTAAGCTGGTTTATGATAGCCACTCCATAATAGCTGAATATTTAATTGTCGACATTGAATGTGTTTTTGAACTTATGCATGCAAAGAAACAAGTGACCATCATTAAATTAGATATGCTCAAGGCCAAATATAACATGCACAGTTAGTGAAACTAAGCAACTAACAATCCACACAATCAGAAAACAGAGGAGTTATTTTAAAATATACAGACTTTTTGAGGCTTTAGCAGATAAATAGGAAAAAGACATTACACACCCTCTTGGTCCAGCATCGCCTTCTCCAGCAACTCTAAGTATACTGCCTGTGCTGACTCCAGGAGGAACTTTGACCTTGATATTTTTTTTAACACGCACACGTCCTTCCCCAGAGCATGTCCGGCAGTATTCAGAAATAACTTCACCATCCCCACCACAATTTGGACAAACAGAAACCTGGATTTAGTAGGAAGATCACTATGTAAGGAATCTTCATTAGAAGATGTGACTTATTTAAGTGGTATTAGATATGTATAAGACAATCAAATTATAAATAAAACAAAATACTTAAAATAATGATTCTTTTTGTGCATATTAATCCTAACATGTATAAATTGGATATACAAATGTCCAAACCCCCATCATTTTAACAACAGAACTTATATCACAGCCTCTGTCAACCAATTCCACCCTTAATTCTTTTGAAAGTAAAGAATAATTAGCATTAATAGGAACCAAGAAAATGCAACCCACATATAAATTATTTACAGGTTAAGAGTCTCAAATCCTTGCATGTATAAGAAGGATAACCCTTAATCAAAACGTGTTGAATCTGAAACTATAATCCTTTAAATCTGTCACAAGTGCTCGCTTGTTGCTTTCTTTCCAAATGACCCAAATGGTAGCCAAGAATAAGACCTAGGATCTTGTTGTAGAATTTATCCCTATGAAGGATGCCTCCCTAAGCCCAAAGCTCAACATTTATAGTCCTGGCCATCACCCTATTCATCCCCAATAAACCATAAGCTATACACCAAAGCCATTAAGAGAAGAGATATGAAAGAAGTATATGGGTATACTTTCTTACACGAATAGCATCAATACAAGTTCCCTTTTTGGTCAGGTTTTCTATTGTTAAAATGAATTCTCCTACCACTTTCCATGGAAAAAAAAGCAATCTTAGATTAGGTGTTCATCTTCCAAATCAGCTTCAAAAGGAAATTCTTGGTAGCTCCCTCACATTTAGCCAAGTGTAGTTAATAGGATTTTGTATAGAAAACCCTCTTTGAGTTTAACTTCCACACTGACTCATCCAGAGCCTCATTTGGTCTCGCACATTGCAAAAAGAACCTGAAATAAGTATGTAATCATTGACCTCAGTCACTGAGGTTCCTGATTAGATCAACTACCCAAGCACCATTACTAAGGGATCCTCCAAAAGATTCTGCCGTTGTTGCTTCTTTACTGCGAATAAGAGAATAGGTTGTAGGAAACTGTTGCTCAAGACGCAGACCTTCATTCCATTCATTCAACCAGAAACTCACACTTTACCCAACCGAACTTTCCATCTGCTGGAACCTCCTTTTCCGTGCAAAGATTATTTTAGATCCCTACACCAAGCAGGCAAGTAAACACTTAAAGTACCAACTCATGTTGTCTATGCCAAATTAGCTTTGACTCTCTTCCAAAAACTGTTCTGGTCCCTCATAAATTTCCAAAGCCATTTACCGATAAGTGCATTATTAAACTCAAACAATGATCTAAACCCAAAACAACCCTTTGAAGAGGCTGTTTCACTATGTCTCAAGCCTCCAAGTGAAATTTTCTTTTCTCGTCGAAATCTCCCCATGGGAACCGACATTGAATGGCCCCTAACCTTTTGCTACACTGACCAAAATTGTTAACATCAAGAAGTATGAGTTACAATATTAGTAAGAATTCTCTTGGTAGGTGTCAGTCTTAGAGATAGCAACTGGTCGGGTTCAGCTCAGATAGTATGAAACTCGATTCCAATCTGTCTTTAAATGTACAAAAACTGAACCAGTGGCAAATCTAGGGCAGGTTTACCAAATTCATCTTTCTACAATCTGACTGGGTTCCTGATAAACCCTAATCTGACCCATCCAGAGTATATATAAATATATTACACACATATATATATACTAGATTGAAAAATATATATTATGTGTATTTTTTATTAAAGTTAAAAAATATATTATATGCATACCGAAATAAAGTTTTATATTTTTAATTAACATTATAACATATATTATATATAACCAGGTCGAGTTCATACAAATCTTTTCTCCTATCACGAATCCAATCCGATCCAGATTTAGTTAAAAATTAAACCAACCTGACACAAGAAGTTTTATTTAAAAATAGATTATGCGTGTCGGTTCAGTCCACTGGGTAATGGACTAGCTGTCTCATCACCCTTGCAGCTCGTGACAGCTTCATAATTCCTTCCTCATAAAGAAAAAGAAAGGGTCCCCAAATACATCCGCATTATTCTTCCAACATACCAACTGTAGCCCGTCCAAAGTAGACCTCCATGAAACATCTTCAGGCTATAATCCCTCAACATACATTTTTTCCTTTCTTCCAAAATTCACCATTACCTTTTACAACTTGACCATTAACCTCCAATTCCTCCACATAGTTGTATCTTCTATAATGATTAGTCATGCTGTAGACAAATTTAATGTTCCTATCCCCTTCCTCTATCCACATAGCTCTCGGTTTATGTCTCCAACCAATTTTAGGAGTGAAGAAAAACAAAAGAGCAAACTTGATGAACCATGGTCTAGTGTGATGCGACTCATTCTCTTTTTGTCGGTTAAGGTTAATAATTAATTGTATCCAAGTTTGGTCGAGGTTGGTTTAGAAGCAAAAACACATCTCAATTCGTAACGGTTATATATAGTATTTTTAACTTTTACATAAAAAGTTAAATTTTTAAAAAACTTTTGTATACATATAATCAGGGTACTTTCGAGATTCACCGGAATTTGACCAAACTGATCTGAAAAGTAAAAAAAATACACTAAACGAACTTACCACTGGTCAAGAATCACTCAGGTAGCTGAACCTGCCCAGTCAAGTCTAGCTAACATATAAAAAATAGATAACATTTGAGATGAATCCTCCCCTTGAGGTCAAGTGCTAGTTCCTAGCCACCAATGAGGGTCGGGTTTCTGTTTTGAGAAAGTGGTTGCCGATCATGTTGTAATTGAGAAGTATTGAGGAGACACAACAGCTAAGAATTATTGTGCATTTGAAGATTACAAGAATAACAATAAGAATACTGTTATTATTTGTAAAAACTTATTATTATTTGTAAAAACTTCTTGAACACTTAATTTTATCCAAAATAGGCTCTTCTCATTTTGTTGTCACCATTACAGACTTCAATAAAATGGCAGACAGTTGCCTCTTTCAAGACAACAATATGTTAGGACATCATGAATCATAAGTAAGCTCAGAAAGCTAATGCAATTAAGAAGTCGTGGGATAGAAAAGCTCAATTCATTTCAATTTTTAAGATTGGAGAGAAAACAAGGAAAGGAACTGACTTCATCACTAGAGATCATGTACACAGAGTGCCCCAAGTACCTGTGAAAACAAGCCAAAAGGTGTTTGCTCAGTTCTCATAACTTGACCCCTGCCACCACAAGTTGAGCATATCCGCATCTTGGAACCCATCTTTGCTCCAGTACCGGTACAAACTTCACATGTTTCCAAATGGGAAAGCTCAAATTCTTTTTCAGTTCCAAATATAGCCTCGGAAAATGCTAAAGCAATGTCATAACTGAAAAGGATTAAAATTGTAAATAATATTTAAGTACCGTTTCAATGTTAACAAGCCATTCCAGCATTCAACAACATAACTGATACATGCATCCATATCAATAAAAATTTACATCTTCAACAACCTGTTATAACAGTATAACTAACATCATTATGACTGCAGCCATTCACAGAGATCTGATGAGTTAGTTCATGTAATCTTATTGAGAAAAGAATGAAATGTTTTTTTCATCTTGTAAATGAGATATATGGCTAGCTTATTAGTTCCTAACCACCTTAGAACACACCATCCAAAAAAGTGAAGCATCCATGGCTAGCTTATCAGTTCCAACTACGTTGCAACACATCATCCAAAAAACTGAAGCACTAATTGGAGAAATGAATACACCAACAATAATAAGTCAAGCATTGGTAATTCTCAGAAGATAATTAGGCATGAAACACAAACATAGAAAACAAATAAGAAATTATCTTTTTTTTGAAATAAAATTTGTGAAGTATTAATATTGACAATGATACCAAGGGGGTATCAGTCCCAACTATGTTGCAACACATCGTCTAAAAAACTGAAGCACTGATTGGAGAAATGAATACACCAACAAGAATAGGTCAAGCATTGGTAATTCTCAAAAGATGATTAGGCATGAAGCACAAACATGGAAAACAAATAAGAAATTATCCTTTTTTTGAAATAAAATTTGTGAAGTAATAATATTGACAATGGTACCAAGGGGGGTATCAGTTCCAACTACGTTGCAACACATCGTCCAAAAAACTGAAGCACTATTTGGAGAAATGAATACACCAACAAGAATAAGTCAAGCATTGATAATTCTCAAAAGATGATAAGGCATGAAGCACAAACATAGAAAACAAATAAGAAATTATCTTTTTTTTTTAAATAAAATTTGTGAAATATTAATATTGATAATTGTATCAAGGGGTATCACTCATATACAAGATATTTACATGTCAATTAAAAAGTCAATGATATTCCCAAAGTAAATAAGAAATTAATTAACAAACATGTCATGTGAAAAAAGAAAAGTAGAGGGAAAAAATACTTAATTATGCTATAAGGGAGAATCAAAGCAATTTAATTTAACTAATAAAATAGTAAACTATTAACTGATGAATATCACTGCATTAGTGATTTCTAATATAGACTGCTGCACATGTCCATGAGAAATCAGATAAAATGAACGAAAGCATCTATACAGCTCAAGAGAATAACAATGTCATTCAGCATGAATATGACAATGATAAGAGTAATGGCACCTGCTAACACTCAAAAAAAAAAAAGAGTAATGGCACCTGCTAATGAAAGTATATAACTTAGCAAAAACTGACCGTATGTCTTCACCCTTTGTAACAGTACTACGACGTCGTGTTCCAAATCCAGCTTGGTCCATTCCAGGAAAACCACCCATACTTGGTCCAAAGAATGTCTCAAATAGATCAAACGGATTTGTCTATGAAGAAAGAAAATGATAATATAAAAATTAAAGTAATTGATTAGACAACACATAAACTTATGTCATACATTTCAAAGTAATATACGTCATACATTTCTAAGTTGTATCCTAGCTGATATAGTACATTTTGGTGCCTAGCAAATATATTTAGAACTTTAAGAATGCAACAATTTTCTATTTTGTTCTCATGCCACCTTGTTTAGTTAACAGTAAGGAGACACTTCAAATTTTTGTTCCCTAAATGCAAATGTAACCACTCTTTTCAACTTGAGCAAGACTCTCTTGATACAGAAAACAAC